TCCTATTTACTCTGCTGTCTCGCAGGCATTAACAAAGAAGTATTTAGGGGAACATGGCTCCTTTCAAGCAAGATAACATCTTCTACCCCTTAATCCAAACACGAGTGGGAAAAAAAGAAGGAAAATGGTAAAGAAAGATAAAAAGCAGATCTCTGGCTGCTGGGAATGGAAATTAGGGAGTCAAATCTAATGTTTACACTGCTCAGTAACATGTGCAAGAGCACAGGGGATTGTATACAGCAAACGCTGAGTGTTTTCAGTGGTGTCTAAAGGAGCCAGGGGCTCTCCAGGCGTGTTGCTATTCCCAGTTTCTCCTTCTTTGCTCTCCTGAGTACTACTGGTGCATTCTGGTGGTCCCCAAACTCTGCTGGTTGTTATCGACTTTTATGGAAATCCTTTCTCCTGCAGCCTTGTGACCCAAATACCAGCTTGAGCAGTTTTAATTTTATTAGGCTCATACCCACCCTTGCAGCTCCCGTAATCCCTAGTTTGGGGCTTGCTGGTATAAATATTGCCTATAAATATTGCCTGCCAGGTAGAGCATCACATTAATATAAACAGTGCCTCAAGGTTTAACGAGGCAGTTCCCACTACATCTACACTTGGCCCAGCTTTTACCACCTCTCCCATCAAACAGCACGGTGACACTTGCTCCCCATTGTGAGAGATTCTCTTGTAATTACATCAACTAAATAAATACATAAAACCCTGGAGCTTTGAATACACGACGAGTGTTTCTCCAGAAAGCAGCATTGATGCAAATCCCTGATGTGAGCCCCATAATACTGTCAGATGTGTTATTCTGTACCATCCCTGGAGGTGTTCAAGACCAGGCTGGAAGGGACTTTGAGCAACCTGGTCTCATGGGAGGTGTCCCTGCCCAGGGCAGGGGGTTGGAACTCGGTGATCTTTAAGGTCCCTCCCAATTCTATGGAGGGTGCATTCCTTGGGCAGTGTTGGATTCATATGGCCAGTGATGATCTGAAACGTAGAAAAGGCTGGGAGGTGTTGTTCAGGTGGGTCAGCACAGACACAAGCAGCTCCTGCCTTTGCTCAGAAATCACAGCATGCTGTTCCCCAGCTGTATGTGATTCAGCTCCCTTTGAAACATAGAGAAAAAGAAATATATTGGCCAAAATAACCTGGAAAAAACCTTTCGAGGAAGGATGGTTCTGAGCTTCTCTGGAGGTCTAAGCGATAGCCAAGGTGGTTAAAAGAGGGAGTAGCATCTCTTTTCTCTCTCTCATGGAGGAAAGGAGGAGAGGACAGAGGGATGCCCTCTCCAAGGGCCACCCCGGAGCCGCAGAGCTGTGACTCAGCACGACCCCAGAGGGGATAGAAGAGCCAAAGTGAGGAGGAAAACACCAGCCAAGTTCTTTGTACTGCAGCACATCCCCACGGTCCCATGTGAGTCGGTAGCAGTGGCACATTTTCCATCGCCATCCTGGTGCTCCGAGTCACGCCAAGCCTCAGATGCCCCAAAGAGGGATGGGGGGATGAAAATCCCTCCTGAGCATGGCTCCTGTGCTCAGTCAAACCTGCCACCAAGCACTCGCCGTGGTCTTTTTTCACACGATATATTGCTCCATGCTCATTCTAACCCAACGTGAGCCTTTCGAGATGTTGGCTGTGGAGAAGGGCTGTCTCCCAGCCTCAGCCACAGGATACACACAAGGTAAAATAAAATACACAGTGCAAGCTAATGTAATTTAACTTCCAGGATTGCTTCCACATCCAGTTTAGTTTGAAAATCAAGACTGGCACGCTTTAAATCTACTTTTGCACAATGAAAAAGCTGTCACTCAAAATTCATGTTTCCCTCTCACAGGATTTCCTGCACAATAAACAAACAAGGGCTCATCTGCTGCTGCCCTCCTCCCTCTCTCCCCTTCTTCCTTGGGATGTGGCTCAAACAGAGAATACAGCCATTATCAGACAAAACAGAAAGTCACAGGATGCAATAATTCAGGTTTTAATACACATTTAAATTGGGAATTTGATTTAGAAGGGAAAAGAAGACTCAGCTCAGTGGAAGGATCATTCCCTGTTGCACCAGGGACAGTTTGCTTGGGTCCCCTCTCCGTTCCCCAGCCCGGGGCTGATCCACAGCTTTGGCACCTTGTTTGCTCAAAACAGAACTTCATGGAGCAACCCTGCTCTTATTAAATCTGCATTGAATTAATTAGAAGTGAGGGATGAATCTGGTTTATTTTTAGTTAGTTTTTAGTCTCCAGCCTCATAAACACCATCCTGGACATACAACCCCACCAGGCATTGGGTCAAACCCTTCCCCTGCAGCTCCAGCAGGCTGACCTGCTCCATCTTGCTCCACCAAAGAAACCCCTGAGTTAAGCCTTTGATAATGGAGAACACGTCCTAGAAGCTGATAAAAATGATAAAAAAACTCAACTTTGCCCAGAATTTGTTTTACAGCTCATCTGTTTTGATAACCATGTGCTCAGGAAGGTACAAGAGAGCAGCAAAAGCCACCAGGTATCTCGGTGAGAAGGATGCTTTTCATTCTGTATTAGGCAAAAGTTAACACATTCCCACGTTTCATATTCATCCCTGGGGAGGAGAAGCAACAGGGCAGGATTGCCACCCTAAATCTGCTTGATCCCCTGCATGATAAGATTGAAACATGCAGATTAAGGGTGACAAAAGCAGGTCAGGGTCCCCTAATCTGCGCGGCAGAGGCTGGTGGCACAGACTCACACAGCGTGCTTCCCAGCTGGGACTTCCAAATCAGACCATAACTGTCTCCAACGCACTCAGCTATGTGTTTAATCGAGTTTTAATTGCAGAGTGATTGCATGTGATACTGCAGAATTACCACAGATTACTAAATTGACTGTTCATTTGCTCAAGTCAGGCAGATATTTCTCTCAATGTGTGTTTTTGCTGCTCCTGGTCCCTGCCTCCGTGTTATTTGGCACGGCATTGTCTGAGCAACAGAAGCAGAGATCCTCTGAAGGGAGAAAAACACTTTCATGCAGTGTGTTGGTAAATTTAACAGGCAGGTGTGTGGGACTCCTACAACTGGCTGTAGAAAGAATCCAGATCCTGCTGTTCTTAAAATGCTGCACGCAGGGGTGAGGGCTGGGAAGCGCCCGTGACAGAGGGTTCTGCAAAAATTATGACGTGCCATGTGTCTGTCATTCAGGGGCTCTCCCCATCAAAGTCCCAGCAAATCTCCTCAGGGCAGGATTGGACGTGGGTCAGATTCATTCACTTGACGGCGTCTGCAGAGCTGCAGGCCGTCGAGTGATGAATTACATCTGCAATCACAATGGCCATGTAGCAGCCCAAAATATTCAGACTGAAATAATGAATTCACTTGAACAGGAGAATAAAAACAGAGCCTCTGGCCTTCTTTCCAAAACATGTCCCTTCAGTTGCCTACAACTTTATTGGATAAATGGCTTTTGCAGCATTCCTGGAAGATGCTCTCATACACTGTGCAGGCTGATGCTAAAAGAATATAACCATCTCTGTTATTAGTTATGTGTTTAATAAGAGACATCACACAAGGCGTTGAAGGCTGCGAGTACAGAGCTGGGCAGCAGGAATTATTTAATTTCTGTACAAATTGGGCAGTGACTCTGTTAGTGATGACACCCACAAAAGCTGGACACACTTTGCTCCCCGTGCTGCTGCTGAAGCCTCCCCAGTGGCTCTTGGCTGAGGGACGGTGAGGGGGAGATGCAACCACAGCCAGACTTGCTCCTCCTGGACAGCATTTTTCAAGGGAAATACATCTGCATATCTCCTCTACGAGCTACGGCATAGTCCCTGTGGAAAGACAGTGTTTGGGTTTGGGACATACCCACAGAAATGTTCTCAGTCCTAAGGCAGAGGGAAAATCAGCCTTTGCCTCCATGAGCCAAATCCACATTGCACTGGGGTAGCTCTCTGAGAGAGCTTTGGTGCCTCTAAGCCCTTCACAGGTCACATAAAGGACAAGAGTGATGCGGCCCTTGCTCTCTGTAGAGCAAATTTGGGATAAAAAATTAACATAATTATTTTATTTAGCCTTGATTTTCTTCTTGTGTTTTATTGTGTTACGTTTTAACTGAGATTTCTTTATTTCCTGCTAGGATTCTGCCAGAATCCTGTCATTTCATACCGAGGTTGAAATGCATATTACAAAAGGAAAGAAATCTTTCCCTTGATTGCCTGATATATCTACTTTTTAACCTAGACTGACAAACGCACTCTACCAACAGCACTTTTACCCTTCAGAGTTGTTGCATATTATTTTCCATTGTTCAACGTCCCTTGGCTAGAAACTGGAAAGGAAAAAAAAACACATCATCTTTCCTCCTTACCCTTTAATTAATCATTTTTAGTATGGCAATGTCCAGACCCAAACCTCCTGTAATCACCACCATCTCAGCACCATCTCAGGTGCTGCACAAAGGTAAAACAAAAGGACCAGCCCAGCTCCTGAGGCTGTTTAATGACCCCAGCTCCGTGGGGAGAGCGGCCGGAGCCTCCGCGTAACCAACTAATGGGATTAGAGTGTTCCTGGCTCCCTGTCTACCTGGGTGAAAAACATACACAAAGTGTCTCTGACGGTACTTTGGACAAAAGACCCGGTGCTACGAGGGCATGAAACACAAGGAGAGATGCAAATACGGTTTCGTTTAAGCCAGTGTCTGAACCAGGCACCGACGCTCCTTTGTCTGTGTCCTCGGTTTCGTTTAAGCCAGTGTCTGAACCAGGCTCCTTTGTCTGTGTCCTGCCTTCTCGTGCTCACAGTGTCACTGCCCCCCTGCTTAGTGCTTTTTTCTATTATTTCTGTTATACTCATTTTTACAGGCATTCGCAGGCTGGTTGTCCCTCAGGGTTATTAATTTCTTGCACAACGGCAATAGAAGAACAAAGTGGGTCCTCAGGAAAGCCACAAACGCCACACAAACAGGTCCCTTTTCCACCCTCACCCCTCCCCGATGAGGAATTGCTCATTAAAAGTAATGGGTTTTTTTCCATCCTCACAGGTGCCGTGGTGATTGCCTTCGTGGTCTGCTGGCTCCCTTATCACATCCGGCGTCTCATGTTCTGCTACGTCCCCTCCAGTCACTGGACAGAGTGAGTCACCAGGAGGGGGATGAAGTTCCCCCCCTCCCCAGGCCAGGCTGGGGCTGCTGGGGGCACCCACAGACTTGGGGATGGAGGTGTGGGATCTGGGAGCAAAGGCGTTCTGCACCCGAGGGGTTAAAGCCTCAGCCTCCTAACTGTTGGTTTGGTTTTATTTTTTTTTGATTTCTTACCATGTTTGGGAGACTCAGCCTCCTAACTGTTGGTTTGGTTTTATGTTTTGGATTTCTTACCATGTTTGGGAGCCAAATTGAGAGTCCTAGTAGTATCATCTTGTTATGGTTTGAAGAAACCACAACAATTTATTGTCATTTAGACAATTTTTCTATCACCTGATGACTTCTTCCCCACCGGGGAAGGGGAATAGGGGCAAAACAAGGAAACCCGAGGGTCAAAATGTAAACAGATGTAATAAATAAGACAAAATATTTAACATCAATAATACTAAAGAACCAATATTATTCTGGATACCAATATAAAATATACAAGGACTATCCCCAGCCCATTCCATCACAGGAGAGAGAGAGAACTCCTCAGCAAACTTCCTAATTTCTATTGAATGTGACGTTTGTGGTATGAAATAACCCTGTTGGCAGCTTGGGGCAAGTGCCCAGGTCTCACTCCTCCTCATCCTCACACCGATGAAATAACCCTGTTGGCAGCTTGGGTCAACTGCCTGGGTCTCACTCCTCCTCATCCTCACACCAGGCAAGGCTCGAAAACACTGAGACCTTGAATCCTGCTCACCAGAGCTGGCTGTAAAGTAAATATTTTCACAAATTGAGGCACTGAAGTCTTCTAAAAATGCAGTTTTCCTAGAATTAGGGAAAAGTAAAATTACTGAAAGAGAAATTAATCCTGTGTGGTGGCTCAAATCAGGACAGATCTGACTCCCCCAGATGTGGGTGACAGCAGCATTAGCTCGAGCCAAGATGCATCATCATGTTCTTCCTTCTCCTGTGGCTGCAACCACAGCCTCGCCGGTGATGGATATTCCCCACTGACAGCCCTTGATGAGATGACATTTGGGCAGGGGGGGTTCATACACCCGAAGTGGATGGCTGTCTCCGTGGCAGAGATATCGATCACTGGCCCTGTGATGGAGCAGCTCCCGTCGACACACAATTTACCTCCCCAGCACCACATTTCCTTAGTGACAGCAGAGATTACACAGGTGGGGAAATAACTGCGCTGCTCACTGGGTCTGGGGCAGGTTATTTACCGGGGTTTGCAGGGAGTGGATCAAAATTAAATACTGGCGGTTGTCGCTGATTAGAAAATGTCCCGATTCTCAGAGAATTGAGGGATAATTGCACGCCTACGTGTGCCATTCACAGATGTGTGAGGGCACACAAACTGCTTCGTGCAGCCTTTCTGCTGCGTCGGGCCAGGTTCCTCAGCAGAGTAGCCACAGAACTCATTATTCATTTTAAATAAGCAATTAAGCATCAATGCTGTCTGGGGATATACAGCCAGGCAGCCCGAGGTGCCGAGAGACGCGCTCAGTGAAAAATGTGTCTTTCCTCCCATGGTGTTACGTCCCTCGTCTCTGGGACCCGCTCTGTTTCCTGCAATGAACAGGAAAAGAAAAGCCTACAATGCCAAAAGAAGCAGAGCAACTACAAGACATTAAAATTTCATAACCTCCAAGCACAAAAACTAGTAATTTACAATACAGCAGTCTGCTGAATGGAATTGTACATCCATCCGTAGTAAAAACCAAAGTCTATCTCCAATCGGGAAAGCAGAGCTCCAGGCACACACTGGGACAAACTGTTGTTTCTTGTTTGCTTTCTGATATGAAAAGCACTTAAAGCACCAATCATTTATGTAACAACCACCTTTGCTTTGAGCAAGAAGGGCAGAGAAGTCTGTCTGCAGTTAGTGTGAATTTATGCATTGTGGTTGCATTCACATTTTTTTTTCGTCTTCTTTTAAAAGCCATGAGCGATTTTAGGAGAACATTGAATTTACAGGCATATTGTGAATGGTGAGAGATCAGTATGGGAGCTAATCAAGAGCTTGAGGCAGCTTGACGTGTTCATTTATAAGTGTGTGTGCCTGCCCCTGAAAAAGAGAAATTTTTGCGATATTAATTCTTCACAACTCTATAGAGAAGCTCTGCTCATCAGAGCTGGATGGGCCAGGCAGTACTTGGCAGTGCTGAGGGGGTGTGGAGGGATTGGTGATGGACTCCAGCACACGTCGATTCATCTTTTGCTAGACAGCGCTCAGACTAACAAAAAAGGTCTACAGTTTCCACTGAGATAAATGATCCTGGGGAACATCTTCCTGAAAATGAGTCCCACGTCGTTTATAAACCCTTTACCAGCTCAGAGCTGTTGATCTCGGTTGTCTCAAGGAAAGATATTTCCAAAAGAAAAAAATAAATAAAATAACTAAGCATTTTCAACAAATTCTAGTTGAAAACATCATATTGTGACGGTCGGGATACGTTTTGAACGATGCTGTCATCAGTTTGTCCCAGAATAGGGAATACTATTCCAGATTACAGACAAATCGGGACACACTGAATGAGCTGATGGTGCTCTCACTGCTGGGGGGGAGCTGCATCTGGTACTGGATCTTGGCTCTTCTGCAGGCTCTGAAGACCAGAACTGCAGCCAGAAAAGTCAAGCTAATGTATATGCATGACACGGAAACGAATTTCCATCTGGCTTCTCAGTTTCAGACATGTCTATTCTCAACGACAAAATGAACGCAGAAGGTAAATATCCCATCCGGACCCAGAGCATAAATCAGTTTCTAACTGTTAGTGATTGGGGTAAAACCTCTGTAGAGGCATTGACCTGTTCTTGGCCAGTCCCAGTTGAAAACAGAGCTGTTTTCCTGGTGGCTCATGCACCATTGGTCAGCCCATGTCCCGAGAAAGGTCAGCTCATGTTTTTCTCATCCTTGTGACTTTGAATCATTTCAGCTCTCTGCATCTTCATCTATTTAGATGTTTATCTCTCATCTGTCCTTGCAGTTTCCTTTACAACTTCTACCACTACTTCTACATGCTGACAAACGTCCTCTTCTACGTCAGTTCAGCAATCAACCCCATCCTCTACAACCTGGTGTCCGCCAACTTCCGACAGATCTTCGTCTCCACACTCACACTCCTGTGCCTGCCATGGAGGAAGAAGAAGAAGCGACTGGCCTTCACCAGGAAATCCAACAGCATCTCCAGCAACCACACATTTTCCAGCCAGGTCACAAGGGAAACTACATACTGAAGCCAAAGGAGGAAGGGAAATGCACTTCATCGTGGAGTCAAAACTTGAGAGAGGCCTCTGTGACTGTCGTGCATGGTCTCCGAATTCACGTAACACAAATGTGTTTAGCAAAGTCATTTTTGTTGGAAAAATAGGCTTTGTGTTGCCAGTAACTTCGGGGTTATTTTAAAGCATTGGCCTTGCCTCTTGTGAGTAATGTCTACACGTTTTGTAACTTCAGTCTGGCATAAGTCCAGGTGTGGTGTTAACTGGGAAGCCAAAATGTGTTAAACTTAGGCAAAACCGTGCTGCATTTCATCCTTTTCTCAGTGCAGAGATGCCATGTTCCCATCCAAGAGTTTGAGATCACGTCTCTTGGTGGCACCGAGCAGAGAGTCTGATGAGGAGAAAGCAGTTTTGAACCAGAGAGGGATGTTTTTGGAGAATGGACATGCTCATCTAAGGGATGTTCAATGGACAAGGAGTGAAAACTCAGGGAGCCAGATGGGTGTTCCAGAGATATGTCTCAATTACGATTAATATGACCGAGGTGCTCAAGAGAGCCGCTCTGGCTCCTTGAAATTAAATAACAACAGATGATGCCTTACCTAGATTGGGGTGGCTGTGGCCTGGGGACATGGGGGGCATCTTTTACTGTAGGGCATGTAATGCCCAGCACAGTGAAGCCCCTCTCTCGCAGGTATTGGTACTGCAACACCAATGAATTATAAAGCCTCTAGCAAAGAATGCAGAAACTCTGTCCAACTGGAGTGCTGAAAATTAACAGAAATGGAAAATTTTACTGTTGCCATACAGCCAAATTCTATTTTTTATCAAGGAGAGCAGTTAGCTGCCCAGCATTGAGATGAGAAAACTCCAGGCTCCTGAGGGCTCCAGGCTGCTGAGATAAGAGCAACCTGCCCCCATTCTGTGGGACCTTCAGATTTCTCCCATTCTTATTCCTGTTTTGCTTGTTTCCTCACCATTTTCACAAGGCTGACAACTTATAAGGTGGTTGTAGGCAGCAGCACCTCTTATTCTACCTTTACTTTTATTTCTTTTTGCTACCAGACCTGTTGGCACACGAATCTGCACACACAGATCTTCAGATAGTGCAAATAAAGAACACAAGAAGGTCTAAACTGGGGATCCTTAGCTCTAAACCCGCTTTCTTTTAGCCAGAGGAACAGAGACAAGACCTGAAAATTCTCTTTGACATTTCTCAGCTGGCCAGGATAGGGACTGTCAGCTTTTCTCCCATATGGTTCCACCTCCAACAGCCCACTATGTGATGCAGCAAATTGCTCCAGAGCCTTTAGCACCAGAAATCACAGGCCTCTGGGAGAAGCTTAAGGTCTTTCTCCGCTGTCACATCACCTGCAGGAAGCTGGAACCAAGCAGTCATCCTGTGTAACCTCTGCTCTGGTTTTGCTGGTGGTGACTGTGTGTCCCCTTTCACACCACACTTCACCAGGACAGCAGGGCTTGCCTCTTTATGATGACAAGATAAAAGAGTCACTTGGCTCATTTCAGCTTTCTGGCCTTTGCCCCTACCCTGTCACTCTCCAACTAATGAGCACCCTTGGTACGTAACAAGTCTCAATGCTGGAGGTGTGGATTTGTCCCCAGTGAACCATCACACAATGGTGGAGACCAGTTACTGGTCCACTGGGTACCACTGACTTCTGCTAGAGATGTGGTATCTCATGGGTTAGGCCCTATTGGGTTCAGGGCACAGAGAAAACACTTGTGGGGCATTTGCTGTGAGTTGTGAGGGATGGATACTACTTCCAAGGCATTTAGAACCTTGCTACAGAGTTAGGTACCATGGTAGATTGGGCTACCATCAGCCATGACCTCCAACCACACCTGCCAGGGATGGGAGATTATTTTAATGCCTAGTACAGAACCACCCCAAAAAGAAAGGGCTCAAAATAGAAATCAGTGGGGCATTAGTTTCTACTGATTCAGCCAAACTACAAGCTCCATCCTGTCATGCCTTCTTTTAATTTCTTGCCCCGCTTGTACCAAACAGAGGGCAGAGATTATATTTGACAAAGCACTTTTGTTGCTCGTGCACAGTTGACTCCTCTTTGGCAAGAAAAACAGGTAATGACATACATGAAACACATGAAAAAAAAATCAAAAAGGAGACTGATCTCATTGGAAGGAAATCTGTGAGGAACCAGCAAATGTTATTGATGTGTGTGTTAGAAATGGCTTGTACAGGTTCGAAGAGGAAGCTCTGGAAGACTTGTATGTGCTGCCCTGTGGGAAGGTCCAGGCACAAAGAGCAGAGGAAGAGGAGTCTTAATGTCACACACTTAACATTGGCCTTCTGGGCAAGAGACTTCCAGTGTTTCTGGAGAGGACCCAGGTTTTTTAACTTCACCTCTGAATAGAGTCAACAGCTGGGAGGCGGTTTCTGAAACCTCCCACAGAAGCTGTAACCGTGTGTTGCTTTGACTTTCAGTAGGATTTAAAATCCTGCCTGTCTTAGTCGCTTTGAAAATGTTAAACATTATTAATATATTTGTTCAACACCAACCTGCTGAAATGTGCTTGATTATCTTAGAAGACACTGTACAAAAATTGTTGTTTCACGTAAGATGCTTGGCGTGGATTTTCATTTCTGAGACACACTGGCAGCGTACAGAGTATTTGATCACAGCTCAGAGAAAATGGTAGGTTTATTTGTGGTTTGACATGAAAACGGGAACAAGCTGGAGTAAAAATGAACTTATCATAAAGTCTTTCCCCAGTGTTTGTTGGGCCACTCGAGTCCTGAAGAGCTGACTATGTGGGGGGATTTATCCAAGTGGTTTGCTGGCTTCTGCAGCTCCGTTCCCGCAGTTTGACACGGGAGCAGACCCGAGCCTATGGCCTTAACCTGAGATTGCAGCTCAAAGCTACCTCTCCCACTGGCCAAATCTGACTACCTTGAGCTGAAAAGTCTAAGTTACAGCTGATTTCATCCCCTCTCCGCTCCTCGCTTAGTTCTGTTACATTCCACCTGGAAATTTAATTCCCTTGAGCTCAAGGAATTGAGGACAACTCACTGCAGGATCCCATGGTTCTGTAGAGAGGAAAAAGGTAGAACTGTCCAGTATATACCAGAGGAATGGTTCTTTCCATATCTTTTAACAACGGCTGAACTCCTAACCCAACAAGGTTTAGCCTTAAACCCAATTGAGTGAAAGTGGCTTTTGCCACACATGCTCCCATCTTTGTGTTCCTGTCGTGTCTGAACTCTCTGCTGGGGCAGAGAGGTGAGCGTTGGTGTGGCACGATGTTAATCTATGCAAATTTCCTATAAGTGTTTTGAACTGTTTGTTTCAACTGAAAAAAAAATAAAAATCTGTTGACCCCAGAGATGGGAAGTGCTGCCGGAAGGGTCCTGAGGCGTTCCCACCTGAAGAGAGTCTGTCTAGTGACCTCTTCAAGTATTATTTAGAGGTTTTGTTTCCCTTCACAGTGTTTTCATTCAGGGCCGTCTGTTTGGCAGTGAGTGAAATCAAGATTTACAAAGTCTGTTTGGAATTTTCCCCCCAGACAGGACTTTTTCACCAGAGGCCCAGCTGGAACCCTCAGCTGAGCTTGCCTTTTTTTCTTTGCAAAGCGTGTGAGACCTCGCTTCAAAAACTAAACGGAGGAGTTGGTGAGGAGGGTGAGCAGGACACGTGCTGTGAGCACAACCATAGCAGGACTTTTTGCAGTTAGAGCATCAAGTGTTTAGTGAAAGGCAGCCCCGAGACGTGCTGCTGCTGCTGGCAGCTGGTGTTGGGTTTGAGCCCATCCTCTGCGTGGCCCCATCGGTACCTGCCCTCTGGTACCACAGGTACCGGCCCTCAGGGTCTCGAGTCCCTTGAGTCTCAGTCTCAGACCATCCTGGCTGTGATGTTCGGGAGCTGTTTTAAACAAAGCTGTATCTTCTTGAGCTCCATCCAGTTCTAAACATTGCAGCTCAACAAAGTTCTTCTGCTCTCGGTCTGGATTCGTTCGGTAGGAAAACAGAAATTGCTAACCCGAAATGTCATGATGCTGTGTCCTGGCTTTGTGATCAAGAGTCCTTCCCCAGCCGTGCCACCTGATAGTCCTGCACATATTGTATTTATGGCAGATATTTTTTAAAGTGCACCCTTTTTTTTGTTTTTTTTCTGAAATACAAGATGTCGATGTGCTTTATTTTCTGTGGCCTGTTGCGCAATGGGAAAAAAAAAAAAAGAATGTTAAAAGTGTGTCAGCGTCTCCTTTGTAATATTTTCTGTGACAAAGGGAAAAAAGAGGGTGTGAAAACCTTTTATGTAGCCATGGGAAACACTCTTTCGATGTAACATGCTGTTATTGATACTGTATTTACTGACCAAACTGTAATGAAATGGTTATTTCCTGATATAGCCTTTGTACTGTATGGTATTTTATTTTATTTTATTTTGACATTTATTGATCCTAAGAAATAAATATCTGAATTTAAGGCTTTGGCTGGTTATGCTTCAAACGGCAGTGGTACCTCTCTCATACAGCATGGGCTGCCTGGTTGTGGTCTGAACTGGTGAAATCCCATCTATCTCCTGAAAGGAGGTTAGAATCATAGAATCATAGAATCATTCAGGTTGGAAAAGACCCTTGAGATCATCAAGTCCAACCATCAACCCTACTCTACAAAGTTCTCCCCTACACCATATCCCCAACACCACATCTAAACAGCTGCTAAACACATTGAGGGATGGTGACTCAACCACCTCCCTGGGTGATAGAGGTTGTAGCAAGGTGGGGGCTGGTCTTTTCTCCTGAGTAACGAGCCACAGTTTTCATATAGGGATGGTGACTCAACCACCTCCCTGGGTGAGGTTGTAGCAAGGTGGGGGCTGGTCTCTTCTCCCGAGTAACAAGCCACAATTTTCACAAATTGAGTCACCAGAGTCTTCTAAAAATGCAGTTTTCCCAAGCATTAGAAGAGACCTTATAGAAAAGCAAAATTACTGAAAGAGAAACGAACCCTGTGTCGCCCGTGAAAAGTAAAATTACTGAAAGAGAAATGAACCCTGTGCCGCCCAAACCAGGACACTTGTCCTTCACACTTGCTTTCCCCGCTTGCAGGGAAAATGTTAACAATGTTGTATCTTGGCCATCATTTCTGTAGCAGCTTTGCCCAGAAAACTGAGCAGGTCAGGGCTTTATTGCAACAAAATCTGTAGGTCCACACCGAAGTAGGCAGCCCTCACTCTGGAGAATTTGTTGCTAAAAACAAAGCAGGTTTTCTGTGCTTTATGGGTGAGATTTCCCTTCCCACCTTCCCCCTTTTACATGACCCATTTGCTCCCTGGCATCCATTTTTCTAACGCAGATGTAATTTTGTGGGACGAGAACACTTGGGTATTGCCCACTATATTAAAGTGTCTTTACACTTAATGAGCAAAAATCAGTCACCTCCACACTCCCTGCAGCCAGCGGATAAAGTCCTGTTGGGAAACAGCACTAGGAAAATACACAAAACCTTCCTAGTTTGTAACCATTCAACCCTATTGTTTTGATGTCTGGCAGGGAGAAAGGTTGCTTGGAAAGCAGCAACAAAATAAAATTTAAATATTTGGAATCATTCGTGCCTGGAAAACTTCATCTTCTAAAACCTAACCAAAGCGCACTGCCTCTCCGGAAGCGTTTCGGTGCTGCTTCCAGATGAGAAGAGCAGGAGCCTCTATTGTCCCTGCACCATCAATTATTAAAGAATCGAATCATTTATTTTATGGATCCTTTTATTTGGTATTCAGCCCTGCTCTGTTGAAAGGTGTCTTTTCAGTCCACTGTCTATGGAGCTGCAGTTCAGCGGTGAAAATCCACAATGTGTGGGGTTTTGGGGGGGACAGGATGCTCCCAGCGGAGCCACCACTGACGGTGCAGGAACCCAGAGCACGTTCCAGCTGGAGTGGAAGAGGTTGCCCTCTCTAGGAGACCCTTCTCTAGCTCAGGGCTGACTCCTGGAAAATACAAAGCTCCTGGGAAAAGAGCTCAGTTGGGCACCACATCCCGCCTCACCAATGCAAAGGAAAACAAAAACACTGCAGAGAGTCAATTAATTTCTTTTTTTTCTTTTAGAAAGTTACAAGGGCTGCGCCTTGGGCAATGAGGAATGCTTTCATTTTGGCCTGTATTTCTCATTTCAATTATAAAAGTAATTTCCATAGTTCACAAGAGGAAAGTTTCGAGCGGCTTTTGAAACAAATGTTACATTTTAGTAAATGGCTTCATAAAACTTAATAAACATCCATCCAGAAGTTAATTTATTTAAAACGTCTTTAAATCCTCCTCTGCCTTATTGAATTTGTTTGAACCGTAGATGGGGTTGGAGTATATTCATGAGGGTATTTAAGCAATAAGGCAGTGCATCCTGGTTATTATCATCGGTCTCTGGTGGGCTGTGAAGTATGAAGCAGAGCGTGAAGTGGCTTTGGGGCACTCAAGTGCAAAACCCCTCCAGAAGTCAAGGAGCACAAAGATGGACCCGAGTGCTGTGGGGTGGCCCAACCGAAGTGGTTTCCCAGGGGAAAACCCATGCAGGGCGAGTGCAGCAGCCATCCCAGCCTCCACCAGCCCAAATGCCGGAGGGACAGGATGGTGATGGAAAGCTTAGGACAGGTCAACTGAGCCCACCTGGGACTGTAGCTACTAGAAAGAGATAAAAGATAATTGTTTCATTCTTGAAGACAGACATACTGAAAGAAAACAAGTGGGACGAGCCAAAAAAACTTAAATGAAACTTTAACATCAGAGAGATGGCCAGAATATGGTCACAGGTGTGAGCACAACAGCCACACACTCACTCGTGTGTTCCCCCACTGTGAATTTTGGTCTTTCCAGTGGGGATCTCCTCCTCTTGCTTGAAAGTGCTGGCTTGGCTGGTTTGTACCACCAGTGACATGACATTTGATTACATGTGGCTGCTTCTCTATGAAATTCTGAAGAAACGAGAAGCAAAATCCTTCACCCTTTTAGCGCAAGAATGTAAAACCATCCTGTAAAGCAGGAGCGGTCCATGTGCTGCTGCTCCCCTGGGCACTGCTGAGGTGCCTCAGCTTCACTGTAAACTGAAGGTATGCAAAGGAACCATTATGGACACACAGCCTGGAAGATCCGCTTTGAGATCTGCAAAGGTACAGAGAGAATAACGAACTCCTTTCTTGCGAGCCACGTTAATATCTTGGATGGACCATTTCATCCTCCCTCAACGTGATGAAACGAGGCATGAAGATGAAAGGCTGGACACACCGTGGGACTGTAGCTACTAGAAAGAGATAAAAGATAATTGTTTCATTCTTGAAGACAGACATACTGAAAGAAAACAAGTGGGACGAGCCAAAAAAACTTAAATGAAACTTTAACATCAGAGAGATGGCCAGAATATGGTCACAGGTGTGAGCACAACAGCCACACACTCACTCGTGTGTTCCCCCACTGTGAATTTTGGTCTTTCCAGTGGGGATCTCCTCCTCTTGCTTGAAAGTGCTGGCTTGGCTGGTTTGTACCACCAGTGACATGACATTTGATTACATGTGGCTGCTTCTCTATGAAATTCTGAAGAAACGAGAAGCAAAATCCTTCACCCTTTTAGCGCAAGAATGTAAAACCATCCTGTAAAGCAGGAGCGGTCCATGTGCTGCTGCTCCCCTGGGCACTGCTGAGGTGCCTCAGCTTCACTGTAAACTGAAGGTATGCAAAGGAACCATTATGGACACACAGCCTGGAAGATCCGCTTCAAGATCTGCAAAGGTACAGAGAGAATAAAGAACCCCTCTCTTGCGAGCCACGTTAATATCTTGGATGGACCATTTCATCCTCCCTCATCGTGATGAAACGAAGTATGAAGATGAAAGGCTGGACACACCATATTTTGCCATTGCATTAGCTTCAGTCGCATTAAGGGCTGAACCAGTTCACTGGGATTTCTTTGTTCCTTTATTCTGTTTCTCCTTTCTCCCGCCTTAGGAAGCTGCTCAGCAGGAAGGGTACGTCCAACACTTCTGCAGTGCAGCTTTCAGCCTCAGGCACCACTAAAACACATCATAATTAATCAGGATGGCTGATTGCTCTGTATCTCATCGCTGCTCCTTAACTATGTCATCTCCAATGAAAACTTTCACACACCATTTTTTCTTTACAAATGTCTCGGGGCCGAGCAGGCATCACCCTGGGTCACAGAGGTCTGTGATCCATCTCCCCACTGAAGACAAACACCCAAGGGAAGAACCCCAGGGCCAGAGCTCTTTGTAATTGGAGTGTGGGTTGCACAACAGGATACTCACCCTTCTGAAATCCCATTTCTTGTGGAACAGCCCCTCTGGGAGCAGATGCTTGGCCGCTTCTGCCATCCTGTGCCTACATGCACTTGTGGACTCACCAGCACCCATACATTTCGTGAACATAATCGAGATGTAATAGCCATCGTTACCCATATTTAATAGTGTTAGTGCACTGCTAACTACCCAGCACATTCCCCACCTTTGTCTCTGCAAGGGTGCTCTTGTTTTATGATATGGTTTTCAGGCACAGAGAACACAAGGGACTTGGTCAAGACCTCTAATGAAATCTTCTTGCAGACCAGAGATTCTAACCCCAGTGTTTCCGGCAGAGTCAGCTCTGATTCATCTTTCCCTTCATTCAGCATAAGCAGGTAGTCCAGGAGCTATTTTAAGCCTCCGAGACGTGTATTAGCAAAACATGCCACCGTTCGACCATTTAAAAGCAACTTCTTGCTGGCTGTCAGCGACAGCAACAACCTTGGCACAGCACTTGGCACCCTTCAAAGGGCTCTTGACGGTGCTGTTATCCTCGGTGTCCGCTTCCCTACAGAAAACACAGACTGTAGGAGGTGAAGCATTCTCTTCTGAATTGAAAAAGTACCCAACCAGGAACAAACTCCATCAAATGGGAACGACCTTAGCGGTGCCATGGAGAACTATAACGAAATCTGTGACACCTGACATTTTCAATGTTCTGGTTCTTCTGTCCATTTGAAAAAGCAGCTATGACTGGCAACAGCATTTTCAGTTCAGCTCCCACACAGGGTATGCATTCTTACGAAGTTCCACATTACCACAATAAATCCCTATTTGTCTTCCTTCAGACTGACAATTGGGATAAGATTAATTTCTCTTTACCATCATCGCAAGCATGAAATTAGATTTTTCGTGACCACTCCGGAAAAATGCCTTATGTAGCCAATAGTTTCCTGACTCAGAACTTGATACTGAATCGCTCTCCTTCCTCTGGCCTTGACCTGGATTAGGACAAGCCAAAAATACGGGGGGTTTCAAGCTGGTCACCAATGAAACCACAGCCAGATGGCCAGACGGGTGAATTTTCTTGCCCAGAGAAGTGAGCATTCTTCCTGGGGAGGTTTACCTCTCAGCAGGAGAGGTAAACACAAAGCTTTAGAAATGAAAGAAAATACAAACTTGTGGAGCATTTGTGGGTCTAGAT